AAATAGGAAGGGGCCAAACACCTTTTCACGCTCTGACCAAACATGAGTGTAAAAGTGAAAGTGAAAGAAAGACAGATACTAAGTACTCGTTTGATTGAGAGAAGGTAAAAATATTATAATAACGTGTTTTATTCCCGATTCAGTTTGGAGAGCTGCAGTTTGTCAGCAATCAGCCATGTTGCTCTATTCTCTGCTCTGAAATCAAACCCCTACCATCTGAAAGATCTGGACCTGAGCTACAACAACAACCTGGATGATTCAGGACTGAAACAGCTGTGTTGTTTTCTGGAAAGTCCACACTGTAGACTGGAGTCTCTGAGGTTAGGTCATTTACTCTCTGTTACTATTATAAATTTCATTATTAATTCATTTCCATTGTGTAGCATCCATTTAAAAACCAACGTTTTATTGGAATATAAATTGCTCTGTGGTCACTAAAGACTAGTGTTGGGATCAGATATTAAAATGAATAGCCACTGTTAGTTATTAAATTAAATAAATGTTTCATATGCCTGCTAAACAGTCACATTCGTATACAGAAGATTCCCTGAACTTCAAATTACCAACCTTTCCACATCTAATTTGTTTATTATTGTTTTATTCGTTACTTAGATTGGAGCTCAGCGGTTTGTCACCGAAAAGCACTGTTGCTCTGGTCTCAGCTCTGAAGTCTAACCCCTCCCATTTGAAAAAAATGGACCTGACCTTTAATGACCTGCAGGATTTAGGCGTGAAACAACTATATGGTTTTCTGGAGAGTTCAAACTGTAGACTGGACACTCTGAGGTCAGTTAACCTATTCTGTGACTACTGATGAACCTAAATTTGATAGACTTCCATGAGTTCCATGTATAAATGACCAAAATATACTGTATGTTATCTGCATGTTTTATTCTCTATTTAGATTGGAGCTCTGCAGTTTTTCAGAGATTGGCTGTGCTTCTCTGGTTTCTGCTCTTAAGTCCAATCCCTCCCACCTGAAACATCTGGACTTGGGTGGAAACGCGATTCAGGATTCAGGAGTGAAGCAGCTGTGTGGTTTTCTGGAGATTCCTCTATGTAGATTGGAGACTCTGATGTCAGTTTGCTTACTGTCTGCTATCACAAAATCTTATAATTTATGTGTATAGTATAGTTAATTTCCTCCTTCAAAACTGAGGAAAATGATAATGATTAATGAATAAGAAATTCTTACTGATGAGGGAAAGTATGGTTTATGTGCAAATTTAAAAACTGTCCATATGTGGCTGAATTGTATCTGATTTTATCCACATTTTTTTTCTTTGTTCAGTCTGTGGTGCTGCAGTTTGTCAGAGATCAGCTGTGCTACTCTGGTCTCTGCTTTAAGGGCCAACCCCTCCAATCTGAAATATCTGGACTTGGGTGTAAATAAGCTGCAGGATTCAGGAGTGAAGCATCTCTGTGGTTTTTTGGAGATTCCTCTTTGTAGACTGGAGACTCTGAGGTCGGTTCACTTTCTGTAATTCTCTAATACATAATTACATTATGGATACACACAGATACAAAGAAAATCAGAAATTAGGGATTGGTCATTTAATGAGGACAAATAATGTTTAGCTAAATCAGAATCGTTAGAATCTTTTTTTTATATTGTCATTATGCAAAAAACACACTGATATTATATGCTGTTCTATTCAATGCAAAGAAAAACAAGGAAAGCAAAGAAAGCAATCTATTCATAACAATATAGAAATAGAAAATAAGAGTTTCTAATAAATAAATACAGTATAAGCATGATTAAATATGTACATATTTAACCTCCTAAGACCTGAAATCTTCCATGGCATGCATTTTTGATTTCTCTCTTTGATTTTTGATTTCTCTTTTGTTTCTAAGAAAAATGAGCACCACATATGAGGATATTCGTTTTAAATTTCGATAGAACAGTAGCAGTATAATGTCCTCGTAAGTGGATATCAGGCCCTTGTAAAGCAAAATTGAGTATTTTGGTCTAAATAACCCAAAATGTGATGTCCACATATGTGGACGCCAGGTCCTAGGAGGTTAATATGTACATATTAACATATGTAGATATGTGTGTGTGCTTGATTATTGATTGCACAAGTTTGAGAAGTGGACATACAACCCTAACAACATACAACTGATAGAGTTGTTTCAGTGGGTGCGAGTGCAATCATGAGTGTAGCGTATACAGTAGGGGACTTAGCACACATCCCTGTTTTAAGTTGACGTTGAGGCTGAGTGTTGGGGAGAGGTGAGACCCTACTGTGACTCTATGTGGGTGAGTTTCTGAGAAAGCCACTAATGCAGAGGCAAATGAAGTGTGGGAGGCTAACGTTGATAAGTTTTGTTATCAGTCTCTTAAGGATGATTTTGTTGAATGCCAAGCTGACGTTGATGAAAAGAAGCCTGGCATAAATATCCTTGTATTCCAGATGGGTCAGGGTCCTGTTTAGAGCTGTGGCTATGGCATCGTCTGTTGATCTCTTATCCCTGCATGCAAACTGGTGTTGTCGAATATGGGTGGAAGTCCTTGGATGATATAACTTTTGGCCAGTTTCTCAAAAGAAGTGGTTCATGTTCTGAACTTGAGTGACAACAACCCGAAGCACAGCGTCACTATCAACAGCATTGGGTCTGGGTTTGTAGTTAATAAGTCAGCCACAGCCGACTCAAGTTGTTGCTGTGGAGGTAGTCCTCAATTTTATTATTATAATCCAGCCTGGCCTGTCTGATGCCCTTTTTTAGATTTACTCTGGCTGAACTGTACAGTTCCACATGACCAGACTTGAAGGCAGTGTTTCTGTTCCTCAACAGGGTCCTAACTGCACTTGCCTTCCAAACCTTTGGTTGGCATACACCCAGATGCCGTGGTGATGGTGTCTGTGCAGTACTAGATATAGCAGAGTATAGATGTGGTGTACTCCTTCTGGTAGGCAGGCTGGTAACATAAACAAGGATATTTGGTCCAACTAGCACAGGTGGGGTGTTGTTATGGTGCTGTATCCTTGTTTAATGTTGGAGTAGACTTTATTCAGTAGCTTTTCCCACGTGCAGTACAGTTTACATACTGACAAAAATTGGGGAAGTAACCTGAACACATTTGATATAATTTATCACTGATTATATGTAGATGTTTTATTGTTTATCCAGTCTGAGGAGCTGCAATTTGTCAGTGATCAGCTGTGCTGCACTGGTTTCTGCTCTGAGGTCCAGTCCTTCACATCTAAGAATCCTGAACCTGAGTGACAACAACCTGCAGGATTCAGACGTTAAGCAACTCTCTAAACTTGTGAGGAGTCTACACTATAAACTGGATACCCCAAGGTTAGTAAAGGTTGATTGGTATTGTACTAAACACAGTTATTATGAAAGGTCAACACATATATAATCAAAATTTTCTTGTAAATCTCTATCATCCAAGTGTTGGCTTTGAATTAAATTAGTTATTAACTAACTAATTAATTATTTTACTTTTTTCCTTTATTTGGCTTTCATTTATATCTTGTGTAAATGTTATTATTTAGTTCCAATCTATAGCACTTTGCATCAGCTATGTTTGTTTTAAGGTTCTTTATAAATAAAAATGATGATGATGATGATGGCTTGACATTAAATATCTCCCTCTGCCGGTTTTGCAGCCTACTGTAGCTTTTGTTGTGAGCATGTGTTTGAGTTGTTGTAAAG